CCCCAAAACCCCAAAACCCCAAAACCCCAGGTTAATACTTTAAAAAAATTTATGTGAACTCTTAGTTTAATAATCTTATAACGATTTTATCAATAAATAAAATTCTCAATGAGCGTAAAACCCTCCTAAGGCATTTCTCTGATATCCATTATTGGTATGTCTTGAATGAGCATCGTTTGTTACTACGAAATTATTTTCAAACGGTTTCAAGGCATGATTGACTATTAGTGGTCCTCTATAGTTGTCAGGTGGGAGTTTATATAGTTTGGCTTTCTTTAAGAATTCTTCATCCTCTTATATTTTAAGCATATCCCTTAATTTTGATCTGACTGTGGCACTCATTTGTTACATCTCAGGCTAAAAAATAAAATAAAAATCAGAAAATATATTAGCAAATAATCTCCATACATTCTCATAGTCATGTGATCTTATGTGCTAGATGAATTTAGTTCTGTCATCAGCAGCTAGAATCCTTGGCATAGTAGTTCTCATCATTTAATCCAAATCATTATTCATTATATTCTCTCCTGCTCTTGACACAGAGCTTCTTTGTGATCTCCCTAAATAAATAATCATTCCTTAATCTTATATCTCACTTTAACTGGTTCTGCTTCCGAATCTACTTCCTCCTTCATGCTGAGATGTTTTCTCTGACATTCTTGGAGCTGAAACTCTTGATGAAGCCCTGGAATGCTCAGACCCATTGATCTATATTTCAATGTAAGCTTGCTTAAATTGATGTAAAACTCACTGTGTTGTATCTGTCCATTTTAATATAAATTTTAATAAATTAAAATACAAGATTCAATTATAGTTAAATCAAAAGCAAACAACACAACCCAAAATGGAATCAGCACCTATTGCTAATATTGAGACCCAAAAAAAGATTATTGAAGACCAGTTAGAAGTCTTACAGCCAGAGGAACAAAAGGCTGGTAAGTTTAGCATTTTAAATAATAATTAAGTGATTGAGCAAGAAAGCATGAGAAGATGGGATAAAATTAACTTTTGCAAAAGAATCAGAAAAATGAGGGAGACCTTTTTAAAGGATAGATCAACATAGTTCAAATATAAGCTTTTATTCGAGCTTGAGATAATAGTAATTTTAAAGAAGAGATAAAAATGATTATTAGTCTCAATGCGTCTAAATTCCTGTTCTGTTGAATGATGAGATCATATACATATTAGACATTGGTATAAGTGGAAATGGTATCGTAAATCTTCAAGTGAATTATGAAAAAGAAGAGATATCTTAGAGATTTAAGGTGAGTTAATTATGAATACGGATTAGATTAATGGAAATTTGATGTTTAGATATCTGAGCATGGACCTATTTAAGTTGAATAAGCTATGAATCAGCTATGGAAAGATTTTAGAATTGAAGAAACTGACTCTTCGTTAACTATCAACTTTATTGCAGAGTTTGAGCTTCCTATATTTAGAGGCTAGTCTAAAGGTGTCAAAGAATAGCATGAGATATAGCTTGTTAATCTTCCAGAATCAGGTTTTGAAATCATTTATATCTTTGATGGGGCAGAGATCTTAAGAATTAATCATAACTAGCTATTATCATTAGAAAAGTAAAGGCTTGATGATGAAATTTATCAAACTGATTCAACAAAGTTTGCAGAAGATAAAGAATCTCTAATCTAAGAAGCATTGTGGAATGAACTTAAAGAGAAAATTCCTACTGGCCCTTAAGCAATATCATTGGATATCAATTATCCAGAAGGGACACATCTCTATGGCATTCCAGAGAGAATCAATACATTTATGCTTCAGGATACAGTTGAAGAAGATAATCTTTCTAAAGAACCTTACAGACTTTACACTTCTGATCATTTTGACGATAAGTATAACTATCATTCTGTTTATGGGTCAATACCTATTATGATAGCAAGATAAAATGGCATTGATAGAGTCACAGGAATACTTTGGTCTAATTCTAGTGATTCATTTGTAGATATCTTCAAATAGAAAGGATATAGAACTAGTCATTGGATGAGTGAGTCCGGGTCTTTACAACTTTTCATTTACCCTGCATAGAATCCAAAAATTTTAGCTTATAAGCAATAATTATTAACTGGCAAAACTGAGATTCCTCCGATTTTTAGTCTAGGTTATCACTAATGCAGATGGAACTACATGACTTAGGAAGAAACTTTAGAGGTATCTACATTGATGACTTAACATTAAATACCCTGTGATGTTATATGGCTTGATATTGAGTATTCTGATAAGAAAAAATACTTTACTTGGGATAAAGTTTCATTCCCTTCAGGAAAGTAATTGTTAGAGCAATTAAGAGATGACAAAAGGAAACTTGTCACTATAATAGATCCTCATATTAAGGTAGATCCAGATTATTTTGTATACAAGGAAGCTTAAAAATAATAATTATTGGTCTCTACTTGTGATCCCAATTAGGAATATGAAGGCCACTGCTGGCCAGCTAAGTCTGTTTGGATTGATTTTATGAATGATAAGGCAAGAGAATATGTAAAGTCTTTGTATTGCAGAGTGCCTGATGATGTAGAAGACAAGGCTAACTATGTATGGACTGATAATGATGTGCATATTTGGAATGATATGAATGAACCAGCTTGTTTTGATCCTTTCGAAAAGTCCATGCCAAAATCAAACACTCATTTGCTTGACAATAAAAGAATCGAGCATAGAGATGTTCACAATGTTTATGGGTACTATAATACCTAGTCAACATATGAAGGTCTAGTTGAGAGAGGGTAGGCTAATTTAAGACCATTTGTTCTTACAAGATCATTTTTTGCAGGCAGTCAAAAATATGCAGCAGTCTGGAGTGGAGACTGCAGGAGCGATTGGGCTCACTTTAAGATGGGCATTCCCATGCTTTTATCAAATAGTATTTGCGGTATTAGTTTTGTTGGATCAGATGTGCCTGGATTCTTCAATGATCCTGAAGATGAAGAATTAGTAGTTAGGTGGTATCAGGTCGCTTCATTCTTTCCTTTCTATAGGGCTCATGCTCATCATGATACTAAAAGAAGAGAACCATGGACATTTGAGCCGACTATTTGTAATGCTATTAGGGAATCTATTGAGCTAAGATACAAGATCCTTCCTCATGTGTAAGTTTTAATCATTAACAATTTTATGAGTAGATATACTGTCTTTTATGAGGGATATATGCAAGGATAGTCATTAATGAGACCAATGTGGCAAGAATTTCCATCTGAAGACAGAGTTGACTAGATTGAGGATTAATTTATGTTTGGATCTTAACTTCTGGTGAAACCCCCATCAAAGACTAACTTGCAATAGTAAACTATTCTGAATAAGATTACTAACATGTTTTTAGAATCGAAATATTCTGCCCAAATGACTCTATTTGGTATGATTTCTTTTCAGGCAAAAAGCTATAAGCTGAGGGTTAATATATTAATTACAAATTATCGCTGACAACTTTTGGTCTGCTAGTAAAGGAAGGCTCTATTATTCCTACTTATGATATTTAGAAGTAACTTCAATTGCTTGTTTTAATAATTATCGTTAGATATGTAAGATCAACTGAAGATCTAGTTCATTCGAAGTACAATTTGAATATCTATCTGGATTAGAATCAGATGGCCTCTGGTTTATTATACATAGATGATGGCCGAACTTTTGACTATCAGAAAGAGGTACATTGATATTTACTAATCTCTAATTTTAGGGAAAATACACTCTGATATAATTTACCTACAAAAATGAAACCTTATCCTACGCAGCAATATCTGATGGAATGAATCTAATCCTTGATAACTCGGTTCACGTCAAAGACCTCAAATTTATAAGTCAAATCATCATTCATTAATGAAGCATAATTTCTCAATCAAATTTTCTGATTCTTAGTGATGGGGTTTTGGGGTTTTGGGGTTTTGGGG